ATTTTGTTGATCCAAATGTCAGATTGATTACACTCAAAAAGTCGAAAGGCTGTGGCGGGATCTAAAAGCAAACTATAAAAGACATGGGGATCGGGATAATATTCATGAATATCTTCTTATAGATATTTTCGAAAATACCTATTATTAAATCGTTTAGATATTTTTATTCATTTTATTAATGATTGTATAAATTTCAATTATATATTTCAATTTAATGAATACAATTGCGTCATTTAATACTATATTTCGATTTAACCCTTCACTACAAAGGTTAAAAAAATCACTTAAACTTCAAAGGTGGGTCAATTTTACCCCTATTTTGATTATTTTCAGAACAAAGTTATGCTAATTTTCCTAAAGTTGCTTAAATTTTATTTATTTAAGGGATCTTCCTTTAATTATAGTATTATAACCAAAATAAATTTAAAATGCAATGTTTCATCTACCAAAAATTTACCTTATCCCTATACCCCTTTAAAAACTTTGTAGGCATTTAGTAATTTTCCTAAAGTTGCTAAATATTTTTTTATTATGGGATCTTCCTCTAATTATAGTATCACCAAAAAAAATTTAAAAAAATGGCTAACTCAATATTTTAGCCAGAAAAATATTATTTAAGCCTCGAGATTTCGTTAATAGATGTTCAACCCTTTGTGCCACCTCTGAGCAAAATCTTAAGGTTTGCATAATATTTTTCTTAATAAAATATTGAGTTAGTCGTTTTTAAAAATTGGCTTCCCCCGAATCGCGTTCAATGACGCTTTTTTGAAAAAAAATGATAAACCACGTTCCTTTTATTTTTAACAAACTTTGGAAAACGTAAATACTTCTTTTTTTGACGAACGCATTCGTTAGATGGAATTCAATGCATCCATCCTTTAAATGATTGAATTTATATTTGATTTTTATATTTTATTTACATAGAATAAATAAATAATAAATGATTTTATTTAATTTTGGTGTCTCAAATTGATCATAAAAAAAATCTAAAAATAAAAATGAAGTGAAAACCCAAATTCGAATTTTCATTTAATCTTTAGATAACTAATAGTAAAATTAAAATATTGGAATAACACTTTAAATTTTAAAAAATTTCTAATGTATTTTTAAAAAAAAGTTATTGTAAAGAAAATTTTTTTTATATAATTTATTTAAAATTCTCATTTTCCGATTTAAACTTGTGCCCAAAATATAAAAACTATATTCGATTCATAACTTTGACTTTAGTTTTCATTAAAGTTTAAAAAAATTTATTATTAAAAATTTCGCCAACTTGCGGATTGAATATTATAGAGTTATATCTTTACATTATGATTATTTTATAATTTTATTAAAAGATTTAAACAATCTATCAATAGTGATGAAAGATAATTATTAATTTAAATTAATTAATTATTGAATATAGCTAGTAATTTAATTTTTAAAACTTGTTTATATCATAAGAAAATAAATCTCAACTCAATTATAGATTATAAATATAAAAATTTTACCTAACCATTTCTTGTTTTCCTTCATTGTAGTTCGCATAGGCATATGCACTTTAGTCAAACCAAGAAAGAAAGAAAATATTAATCATGCTTCTAAAAAATATAAATCGGTTGGTATTATTTGTTTTTCAAAAAACAATTAATTATTATTTGATTCGAAAATTTATTTTTTTATTTTTTTTTTCTCTTTAGCTTTCACTTTTTCTGGTGGTAAGCTCCTTCAACATCTCTCTCCACTTTATGTTATTCATACAATCTCTTTTATCTATTTTATACTTCTTTATATTGGCTCTAACTTTATGGCCCCATTGAAGTTTTGGCCTTCCTCTTTTACGTTTGCCCATCACTTCCAAACTTTCAACTTTATTTCCTATGTAGTTCATAGGCCTTCTCATTGTGTGCCCATACCACCTAAGTCTGTTTACCATTAACTTAGTCTTAATGGGCACTACCTTTAAACTATTTAGTATTCTTGTACTGCGCACCTTATCCTTTCTTGTTACCCCAGCAATCATCCTCAGCATTCTCATCTCCATAGTTTGTAGACTTCTCTCGTCTGATTCTTTGGTTGGCCATGTTTCCGAACTATATAGAATAGTTGGTTGTACTATGGAACTGTAGATTTTTCCCTTTAATTTGTGTGGGATTCTTTTGTCAAATAGCACTCCAGATAAAGATCTCCACTTTAACCACCCTTGATTAATCTTATTCTTTATCTCTTTTTCTATTGTGCCGTTTGTTTGTATAGTGGAGCACAAATATTTGCAGTTTTTAATTGCGGATATCTGCCAATCATTTATATCAATACTCTCCGTTTCATCTCCTCCTATCACCATATACTCCGTCTTTTCTCTATTTACTTTTAATCCGTGCGTTTCTAGGATATTTATCCAATTCACTAACCTTTCTTTCATTTCATCCTTGGATTCGGCAAGTATCACAATATCATCTGCAAATATCATATTCCACGGGACTGTTTGAGGTATAGACTGTGCTAATACATCTATTACTGTAATGAAGAGAAGTGGGCTGAGAGCCGACCCTTGATGAACTCCTTCGGCTATTGTGAAGCCTGCTGAAGTACCTGTTGTGCTACGGACCATTGTTGTATGTCCCATATACATATCCTGTATTATTCTTATATATTTTTCGGGAACTTTTTTGTGGCGTAGCGCCCACCAGATAAGTTTTCTTGGGATTCTATCGAAGGCCTTTTCTAGATCGAGAAAGACCATGTGTAGCTTTTTGTTCTTTTCTCTGTATTTTTCACTCATTTGCCTAATTGCATGGATAGCATCGGTTGTTGATCTTCCAGGCATAAAGCCAAACTGTGTCTCTCCTATTTCGATTATATCTCTTAATCTTTTTTCTATTATTTTTTCGTATAGTTTTAGACAGTGTGACATTAGTTTTATGCCCCTGTAATTTTGACAATTGTGTGGATCCCCTTTATTTTTGAAGATAGGAACTAGATAGCTCTTCCTCCATTTTTGGGGAACCTCTTCATTTCCAAGTATTTTTATTGTGCTTTAAGGCTTTCTATTGGAATATCGTCTGGACCCCTAGCTTTGTTGTTTTTCATATGCTTGAGGCATGTGATTATTTCTTGTTCCGTTATAGGTTGTACAAGGTTTTGACAAGGGGAGTGTTCATCGAGATGCAATATGTGGGAATTAAAGTTGAGAAGCTCCTGAAAATATTCTTTCCATCTATTCATTATTTCTTTTTCCTTTATTATCAATTTCCCATCTTTATTTTTGATTACTTTCGGAGCTCCGTTTATATCCCTAGAGTTCTTTTCTCGCTGTTTGGCTAATCTGTATATTTTATTTTGCCCTTCTTTGGTATGTAGATCTTCGTACATGTCATCGTATGCCATAGATTTGGCCCTAGCCACCGCCTTTGTAGCTAATCTCTTGGATTTTTTGTATCTTGACTTGTCATCTGCATTTTTGGATTTGTACCATATTTTATAAAGGGCTTTTTTCTCCTGTATAGTGGTTTGTACCTCTTAATTCCACCACCATAGTTCTTTGTGTGATTTGTTGCCTCCTCTTGTCAAGCCTAGCGTCGATTTTGCAGTGTCTATTAATCTAGATGAAAGGTCTGTCCTGATTTTTTCACTGACTTGTGAGCAATTTATTGTTTCAATGTTTACATTGATTGCAAAGGCATCTGTCATTGTTTTTAATTTACCCCATTTGATGCATGGTTCCAGTTTTATCTTATTTTGAGTGGATTTATTTGAGATTTGTAAATCCATGATTAGTAGCTTGTGTTGTGCGGCGATATCTTCTCCTGGGATGACTTTGCAGTCTATTATATCTTTTAATCTTCTGCGAGAGATTAGCATGTAATCTATCTGTGTTTTCCTAGTACCACTTTCATATGTTATTAAATGACTGTCTTTTTTCCTATAGTAGGTGTTGGTTAAGGCAAGGTCGAAGGCTTGCGTAAATTTCAGTACGTGCTCTCCTTCATCATTTCTTTCTCCGTATCCAAAACCACCATGATGCCTTGTAGCTATCTCTTGCTTTCCCCACATGCGCATTTAAGTCACCACCAATTATGACTAGGTCATCCTTAGGGATTTCCATTACAGCTTCATCAAGGAAAGCTCTAAAGTCATCTTTCTCTTCTTCCTTGCAACCCGTTTGAGGAGCATATACTGATAGGATGTGTAGTATTGATTGACCAATGCAGAGTTTTATCTTCATTAGTCTATCAGAGATCCTGTTGACTTCTACTACTGAAGAGGTTAGGTCTTGGCTGAGGATGATGCCGACACCGTTCCTATTGCTAACAAGTCCATTATAGTACAATTTATACCCATCTCCAATCATCAAAGTTTTCTGTCCTTTCCATTTCGTCTCTTGTATACACGCTATATCAACTTTTCTCTTGTTCAACATTGATGCCAATTCTCTCGTCTTACCTTTAAGCGTCCCAATATTCAAACTTGCCAGTCTTGTCTTCTTTGCTTTGACCTTTACTTTATTTTTCACAGGATGGAGGTCTACACCCTGCGCGTCGCATGGAGGGAACGCCCTAGCTTTCATATTCATATTTTCATTTGTGTCCTTCATTTGTTTATTGGACAGGTATCCTTAGCACCCGGCTGTCCAGGCCTGTCGGTGACCGGGGTGTCATCTCTAAGCTCCGAAATTCATCATACCATATGTCTTTACACATCAGTCATCGAAGAAAAACTTGAAAGTTTTTATGGTTCTTACCAGGATTGAACCCGCGTCCTTGTTCATACTCGTGTTTCCAAGCCTACATCTTACCCATTAGGCCACCCCGATACGAAAAATGGATTACATTTTATAAAATGGATGAGGGGAAAAAATACATTAGAAGCTTATATAATGATAATTTCGAATATTTATGAATAATTAAAATATTATTGAATACTATTATTCTAATATAATTGATAAGTAAAACACGAATTGAATTACATGCGTTTAAGACCGAGTGTATACCAAAAATTATAAATTTTATTTTTAAAAATAGAATCAATTATACAGAATGACTTATTACTTCAGAAAATGCAAAATGTCTCATTATCTTTGCTATTACTAGAAGAAATGCATAAAAAAGATTCATTTTGGAAACCTTATTTAGGTTACTTGATTTTCTAGATATTTTAAATAAAAATTTATTTACATAATAAAGAAAGAAGGAAAGAAAGAAAGAATTTTAATATTAATTAACCGGTAAAGAAATTAAAGATATTGTTAAATAGGAAGTTATTTATTTATATATATAATGAAAATTAGATATCTTACCACAGACGTTTAACACCCCCTTGTATTTTAGTGAGAATGATTTTGAGATCGCGAAATCGAGTTTGTCATTTGATTTCATATATAATCACGTTTGCAGCATTTCAAGGCAATATGTTTACATATATAGATTACTTAAAGTATGTTTTATTTGTTTTTAAACTAAAATACCGGGTGACTCAAAAACGCCGCCTTTTAAAATATTTATCTAAAACTCTTCATGTTTTTTAATGAAATTTCGTGTTTTATTAAAAAAATATATGAAACTTAATATCCTCATTTTTTCAGAGATCTACAGGCTCGGTTCAGAGCTTGGGCCGGGCCGTATTTCAATTTTTTTAAATATACCCCGGCTGGGCCTAATAAATTTTTTTTTAAATGACCGGGCCTAAAAATATTTTTAAAAAAATACCCGGACCGTGCCATATATTTTATAATCGAATATTTTAAATCGCCTTTATTAGCTATAAAATTAAAAATAAATATAATATATTTTAAAAAAATCCGGACCGGGCCTGAAAATAATAGGGCTGTGCCGATATTAAATATTAATCGGCACCGAAATTTAACGTTTTCAAAAATATCAGATCTGGACGATATTTTTTATCGTTTTTGGTTATTATTTATATAATCATATAATTTTTTATTTTATGCTTAATTTCATAAAAATAAATTAATGAGAGGAACTAGAGGTCTGCATTGGGCGGGTTTCCCGTTCATCCAATGTTTTAACAACAATTTAACCCGCCCGCCCAGCCCACCCATAGTTTTCAAAAAAATATATACCCGCCCGCCCATTAGTCTAAAATTTTTTACCCGCCCGCCCATTATTTATAAAAAATTTTTAACCCAAGTCCGCTTATAAAATTTAATTATGGTCATTCTTTCATTTTTTTAAGCATCTAATAAAAATATTTCAGCATTACACCTCTACAAAAAGTTTATAATTTAGGAAATTAATATAAGTATAAAAATAAATGTAAATTATGGACAATTAATTTGATAAATTGAGTATTTATGAAAAAATAAAAATGTAAAATTAATATTATATGTAAATTATAATGCAAAAATAATAATGAATCGACATTTTCTGGATTCAAACACGTTCTCCTTTGTTTTAAAAATCTTACAGCAATGCTAATCCCGTGTTCGGAAGAAACACTAGAAAAGTTTTATTACATTCCCATAAATGGAAATTTTTAATAGACAAAAATGTTTATTTATTCTAAGAAAAAAGTTTTATTGTTGTGTTTATTAATAATATAGTTAAGTAAATGTTCTTCACTTAAAAAAAAGAAATATTGTTAGTGATCATAAACAATTTTTTTTTGTTTGTTTTTGAACAAAAATTTTAAATTTCCTTAACCCGCCCGATCATTGTTTAAATTTCTTAACCCACCCGCCCAGCCCGCCCATAGTTTCAAATTATTTTTAACCCGCCCGCCTGCCCATTCTCGAAAATTTTTTTACCCGCCCATCCGCCAGCTCATTTATATAAGCGGGCGTGGGCGGCAGACCTCTAAGAGGAACTATACAATTTATTTGTTATAATTGTTAAAAAATAGTTTCAAATTTTATATTATATGCAAAAAGAAAAGTATTTTAAAATATCTAAAGAGTCCAATTCGGTTTTTGTTGCTAAACGGTTCAATATATCCAATTTTAAAAACAGCTAACTCAAGATTTTGGTCGAAAGTAAATTACTCAAGCTAATTGATTTTTCCCATAGATGGCAGAAAGGTTTGGACTTCTATTGGTGAAATTTCAAGCCTTAGGTAATATTATTTTGACTAAAATTTTGATTTAGCCCTCTTTTAAAATCGACTAAACAGAGCTGTTTAACAATACAACATTCACCCATAAACATTGCAAATATTTTAAATGAGAATATTAACTGTTGTAATTGTGGTAACATGCAAATTTACTAGATTAAGAAAAACGCCAGACAGGCAGATTACTTTTAAACAAAATTACGAAGCCCAAAGATATTCAAATCTACAAGAATTAAATCTCGGTACAAATTGAGACTATGCAAATGTTGATTAAAGAAAAAGGATATATAAGGAGAAATTATGATGCGAAAAATGATGATTAAATTATGATTTTACGAACTTAATTTTTTTAATCTTTAATTTTATTTTAATTTTATTTTAATTTTTTTATATTATTTTAATTTCTTATTTTATTTATGATTATGTAATTAGTATTTATATTAATTAATAAAGTATTAGTAGTTAATTTATTTATACTATTATTTTATTCTCTAAATTATCTCAACCACTACATTTGTTGGCCGAAACAATGTTCTATGGACACATTCAGTCTAATTAACTTTTCTTTATTTGACAATGGTTCTAAGTTCCCAAATAAATTCTACTTAACTTCTACATTGGTGTTGGAGAGCGGAGGAGACCGGGCCATTACAATAATTCAGTCTAATTAACTCTGAAAAGAGATTCTAAATAAAGGGGGAAGGGGATGTATGAAATGACTATCGACACAAAGACAAAGAATGAGGTCAATGAAACATGGTGTCAATATCAATGGTCGTAATTCGAAAAAGAATAGAATTAGTCGTTTAATTAAAAGGAATTCGTCACAAGAAATCGTTATACATACAAGCGATCGATGTAGCTAAAAGAAATTTGTTATAAATTGTTATTAAAGATATACGGTTAACTGTTATTTAAGTTGATAATATTTAGAAAAATATCAGGTTGTTGATTAACCAAAATCTTCATAAAGAGAAACGGCTTTTCGTCATTAGAAAATTTATGCCGCAATCGAGCTCAATTAGAGATCGGATTTTTTATTTTGGATCAAAAGATACAAGAAATCATTATCGTATAAGAAATCTTAAGACAACGTGGATATCTTGACAAGCGACTAGGTAGAACAAGTGGTCAAGACCAGGATGCTATCGTTAATCGTTGACAAATTATCGCCAGTTGCTTATCAAAACTTTAGTATAGGATAAAAAATCGATGATCTTAGAAACAAGAAGTCGGGGAAACCATCGTTACTCGCAGACAAATTATCGGCAGTCGTTTACCGTCATTAGTTACTAGAAATCGTTAGAAAGAAGCACAGACTAGGATAATTTGGGATTAAAACGAAATATAATTAAAAGAGCTAGAAGAATGTATCGGGAATCATGATAACAGATTCGTCAATGGCCTATAAAGATCAAGAGATAATCGTTTACAAGGGGTTGACAAGAAACAGAAGGAATCAAGAATTTCATAGTGTAATAGGATACAAACAGTCCTTAGAAGTGAAGAATATTAGACAATAGACCGCCGTCGTTAGAAACTTGAAGACATTAAAGATTAAGACGAATAGATTTGGTGGAGAAACAAGATCAGTAAAGTCAAAATCGGAAGAAAGGAGATCATTCGCAGAATGGTGGGACTAATCTAAGTGGAAAGGTGTTGTAATTGTGGTAACATGCAAATTTACTAGATTAAGAAAAACGCCAGACAGGCAGATTACTTTTAAACAAAATTACGAAGCCCGAAGATATTCAAATCTACAAGAATTAAATCTCGATACAAATTGAGACTATGCAAATGTTGATTAAAGAAAAAGGATATATAAGGAGAAATTATGATGCGAAGATGATTAAATTATGATTTTACGAACTTAATTTTTTTTAATCTTTAATTTTTAATTTTAATTAATTTATTTGATTATTTTTTTATCTTTATCATTTTAGTTTTAACCTTTCTTTATTTGACAACGGTTCTAATCTCTCAATCCTTAAAAAACATCAAAATGTTACATTAACTTTTGGAGAATAAAAAAAATAAAATGCACTTAATTATTCATAGAAGTTTGTTTATTTTAAATAGAAAATATTGATATTTTTATTGCATTGATAGATAGGTAGTAAATAAAAATCAATATAAATATCTGATTGGTAAAAAAATTATGGATCAGCACTGCCCTATAATATATAAGACCTACGGTGGGCTGAATTTTTTTAAAAAAAAAATAACCCGGAACCGGCAGTATGGTATCTTGGCAGGTCTTGGAATTTAATAGAGTCATTTTTTTCCAGTATGTTAAACTATAGCTGGCTCCCTGCTTTTTTCAAATTTTTTCTCTTATGAATTATTATGAAAAACGCAAACATACTTTGAGATTTTTATTTAAATACAATTATCATTATACATAAATATAATTTGGATAGAGCTCCAGCTTCTTTTTTTCTTCTTTATGTTTTTAATTTATTTAAGACTTGAATTTAGATCAGGGGTTTTCGGAATATGAACCCCAAATTATATTTCACTTTTTTCTAGGAACTTTAGGATTAAACTTCACGCATTCCAATTTTTCTTCTCATGGCATAACTTTTTCAGTTTAAGATCTTCTTTTAATAACATTTTAAATTTATTTTATTTTTTTGTGTGTTAATAAAAGGGCGTTTAATAGTCAGATTTGTTTGATGACCAATATTTGGCTTTAAAATTTAGGTTTAGGGAAATATTTTTAAATAGGCGATCGTCCGGCTATAGTCCAACATAGTGGGAATCCATCTAGCTTGTTTTTAAAAAAGAGATTAAAGGTATTGAGTTATTACCACATTTTAGAATTTTTGCATATAATTTCCTAAAAATCGACTCGATCAAATTCTGAATAAATGAAGATATTAAGTTACATTTATTCTTTATTAAAATAGGAAATTACTTAAAAAATCGAATGAAGCATTTTAGAGCAGATTTATATATTTTTCCCTAATTTCAATTAAGGTTCATGTTTCTACAACAACCATTTTATAAATTAATTATGTTTGATATCTATATTGTGTATAGTTAAATTTTTGACCCGCCTCACTCCGACCCTTTATAAGGCTTTTTAGGTGTCTAATTACTATAGAAAAATATAAAAGAATTGAATATCTTTTCTGAGAATGGTTATATGTTATTTTAAAATACACACTTGAATCATTAATATATAAAATTTCTTAATTAAAGGAGAAAAATATGGAAGCAGAGCCCTAGGCCAAGACAATAGGATAGACTGCAATCTTCCTTAATTTTTGAACCGTTCACACAGCTTGAATTTGGCAATAAATGTAAAAAATGGCGCTAAGGTCAAATCCACCTTGTTCTATAAGGATTTTATATTTATTGAGTCGAAAAATCGACAGAAACAACAAGAGGAATGCTATTTCCAATAGCTATAGCAATTGTCACTAGGATCCTCTTTCACCTGAGGTTAAAAATCCTACCTGTTTCATTCCCTTCTCTGCAATAACTTTACCATGATCTTGGACAGTGGTTACTCCAGTTTCATCCATGTTCCATATGTCCTGTGGTTCAATTTATATTCATCCATTAGAGATTTTAAATTATCAAATTTTTTTGACAATATGAAGATTGAAGCCTTGAGCTTTAGCCAAACTTGTTACTTAAGGAGTTCTTAGGGATAATTTAGGATGTCTATGTTTGAACCCTTTAATCAATCCATGCCCACCATTCCATCACGGGTCCAACTTTCAGGAAACTAACTCATATTTTGCTAAATCATGTGCTAATAATCTTAACTAATATTATTTATATTCTTTAAAATATAAATTTTATCTGCTTTATGCCAAAACCTATGAGTGATTTGCTAGCTTGAATGTGTTATCTTTTAAAATGCCCTCAGAGCTTTGGCGAATATTAACCTTGAACTCCATCTCATATGAGGATATTGCAAAGTCTCTTTGTACTTATACATTGATCTTCTTAAGGTTGTTCTAGGAATATTAAATTTAGTATCTATTGATAATATTGATCTTTTATTAATGATTATATCATCAATTACTAGTTTAATTTGTTCACCACTTATTTTGCACCAATTTTGTTTTGCGCGAGCTTTCATTTCAATATGAATGTATGAATTTTGGCCAGTCAATGCATGCTCACCTGTCTATTATTTTTAAGGCCTTTATATGTATATTAAATAAAACTTTTAAAGTCTAATTTTTTGTGTGAATAATGCCAAATGCCTAAGGATAATATTTATATAAAATATCAGTAATCTAAAATAGTAATTTTTTCACCAAACAAAAAAAATGTGTAACGTGATTTTTTCAGAAAGAGGTTCTAAAAACAGTTTATTTAAAATATTATTTTATTGGATTGCTCTATTCAATAAATGAACTTAGGTGAGGTACATATCATAAATATACACAGGGCGGGCCAGTCTTTAAACATGACCATTTATGGCACATTTTCCTTACCCTTTTTGAATTTCTGGCTAGTTAATTGCGAAAACAAAAGAGAGGGGGTGGGGAAATTAAAATTGAATAAATTAAATTGTTGCGAACACGACACTTTGCATTATTAGGTCGAATAATGTGGGATATTAAATCAAGAAACGTAATTAAATAATAAAGTAAAAAATATAATATTTTTCTAATTTATATAAACTTAATTGTATATAATTAAATGAAAATATATATAATTATAAATCAACATTTTGTAGTTCATGGGTGCCATATTGTTTTGCTTCTCTTTTTTTTATCTAAACAAAACTAGGTATAATATTTAAAGGTATGATGCTCTCTATCTCTAGTCTCTTTGGCATATTTATCGAGATTGAATTATATGTATTTAATTAAGTTATGAAAAGACCTGCCAAAAAGTGTCATTTGGGTATAGATATGGTTCACTCACATAATGAACAGCCAATCTATAATCATATGAGTGTTATAAATTTCGAAGGCTTGGCAAAACAATACTATTATTTATCATTTGTAATATGCGTAGACATCTAAATAATCATTTATATTAAATTTATTCTTATTATTAATATAACTTATGAAGGGCAAGATCTTTACTAAAATTTCATTTTATACAATAATATGCAATTTATAGAATTAACAAGATTATACAAGTTCTTCTTAAGTTATCATTAATTAAATAACACCAAAACCGAAGGCTCTAGAAGAAAATGGATTTGAAATTAAAATATGTAGAGTTTTCGCATCGTATAGAAAAGTTTTTAATAGAAATGTGTCAATTCAAATCTGACAGTTTCATTCAAGTCTGATATTTTAAATTTCTCACGATTTAAGTCATAAGCACGTGAAATTGAAAATGTGAGATTTTAATGACTATGAGATCTTGAAAATTTAAATGGCCTTCAATCTATTTAAAGATATCAAAATTTCAATTCCACACGTTATTAGCCGTGTGATTTTGATGGTGTGAGTTTTCACAGATTTTATTTTTCTAATCATTAGAAATTTTATTTTTATCATCAAATTGTTGTCAATAACGCTCAACTGATTCTGAAATATTTATTTAATTTTTTAGAAATTATCTCAAAACAAATCGTCTCAAAACTTTATATTTTACGACCATTTTACTTATGAAGATTACAGGTTAATAACAATTTAAGATTTTTTCTCTAATTAAATAAATATTTAAAACAAAATAAAGGTTAGAAAAGGTTATACTATATTTTATTTTGGCTTAATTCATATTTTATATCACAATCCTTCCCACTTTAAAATTTGTGCTTATGATTTTAGTTTTTTTATAAAATAAATGTTTAATTTACGTAATGAGAACTAGATCTCACAGAAATCAAATCTAATATTTCAATATTCGTTTCAAACGAATAATACGAGTATTATATTCCATTTTCGAAATATTTGATTCTATTTGAATAGTTTAAAATAATTAATTCACCATTAATATACCTTGTTTATAATTACAAACAATAGATGATAATACTAATGACGTTTATAACTTTCAAATTTTAATTCAATTCTAAATAGAAAAATTTAATAATCGTTCGTTATAAGCAGAGTTGCTAAAGGCGCCGCTATATTTTTTCAAAAACACCTGTAAAACAGCTATTTTTTAACTCGGGAACGGGAACTGTCATGTTTATTCCACTTCCAACCAACGGCACCTATTCAACCAATCATTCTTTGCCTTCCGTTCAGCATGTCTAAACCATCTCAGTCTATTAATTTGCCTTCCGTTCAACATGTTTAAACCATCAGTCTATTTATTCTCAAGACATCACCTATTGATTCTATCCCAATCCTTTCTCTCAGTTCCTAGCTTGTTTTTCTTCTCAATGAGATACTCTTCATATTCATTTAATCATTCCTTCAATCTGGCTTCGCTTAATTGCCCATGTCTCGCTGCCATACATCATACAACTTCTCTCACAGCTTGTATAAACTCCTTCAAAGTTAACGAGACATTTTTATCGGTTAAAATTGAAGACACTTAAATTTTTACAAGCATATCTTATATGAATATTTATTTAAATTTATAAAACTATTTAATTAAATGTAGAGCGAGTTGTTATATTTATTTATTTTTGCCATTTTTAAACTCAAGTTAGAAAACATTACAAGAAATATATCTTCCAAAAGTGGTTGAATGTTTAAGAATGGAAGTTCTGAAATGAATGAAGATTTTCAACTTGTTGGATATCAATGGTGTCACAACATTTACGCAGTGTCTACCACAATATCAATTTAGTGTTCATCGGATATAGAGAAAGCTTTAGAAAATATATTTAAAATTATATATTATATCCAAAAGCTCATTTCAAAAGTGTCAGTCTTTAGAAAATAGACAAAATTGTCCACAAATATGGCTGGTATTATAATTAAAAAATTGGGAAGTTATTTGATATCTACAAATACCACAAGGTGCTTTAACTCAAGAACGTAAATTTATTAAAGAATATAGTCAAGTGATATAATCGTTATTTTTCGAAATGAATAAATTTCAGATTAGGGAATCTTGACAAAGACTTTGAAGATCCTTGAAGATGAGCTTTATATGAATGTGAATTTTTTTTTTAACTCCAACTGTTTCTAGACTCATTCAAATAAAAGGATTTTGCAGAAGAACTTTGCCAACTTATTGTAGAGTCTGGCGCGTACGCAGGAATTTGGTCTGGGGGGGGGATAATAAAATTTTTTATGAAATATTATTATTTAAAAATATTAAGCATTAGGACTATTAACTTTTCTAATACATAATTTTAAATTAATGTGAATTACAAAAAAATTATATATATATAAACTGGCATTGAAAAACTATAAAATAAATGTGAATTAAAAATGAATATAACCACGATATGAATCACTTAAATGACCCAAAATTGAAATTTGAATTTTTTGAGCCTTAGTATAAAAAATTTAAATGTTGGAAATATAAATTAAATCACAAAATGTTTCTTAGGAATAATTGTATTTTGTATGTTTTGAGAGCTAATTTTTCAATTATCTATCTTGGCGTTAAATACCTAATATTCAAAAGATCCTAATCATTCAATCTACTTTCAGAAGTTGTATTTCATAGGTATGTTTCTCAGAGACTTGCAGGCCCGGCCCCCGGGCCGGACCATATTATAATTTTTTTAAACATACCCGGGCTGGGTCTAAAAAATTTTTTTTAAAAAATATCCGGGCCGAGCTGTATATTTTAAAACTAAATATTTGAAATCGACATAATTAGCTATAAAGATCAAAAATAAATATAATTTATTTTAAAAAAATTGGGAATATAATCTAAAATGTGTTTGAAATAATGCAAAGCATCCATAGCATTTTTGGAACTGTATCAACCATAGTTAATCTTTTAATCATAGTTATTCAGCTAATAAGGTATCATAAGATACTTTAACATCTTCATGATAAAAATCTAACAAATATTTTTTTTTCTATCACCATCTGAAAAAGGTTGGAAAGGCTTTTGTGGAAGTAATATCTGCGGATTTGTAAGTGCTGATTGATGAATTAAAAACCATTCATTTATTTGGGTTATAAATGTATCTAAGAGAGGGGACATTTGTTTTATAATACTCTTCTACTAATCCTATATTAATGTTTTGACGATGAGCTTGCTTGCTGCAAGTCGAGGGGGACAAATTTTAAACACGTATAGCTCTGCTTTTGACTCAACAATAACATATTAAATATGTTCTTCATCAACATTAGCTCTAATTTACTGAGTTCTAATAAAATGCTCTCCGCTATTCTCATCTTCTTAGTCTAGGTCATGTTTTTGAAAAGTATTAGATAAAATAGTTGTAAAATTAAATAATACATTCTAATGAGAAAAAAGAAAGAAAGAAATAAGTATTGAATCCAATAATTTTCTTGCTTCTGAGGAAATATTTCTTCCAAGCCATTGGGATATTTCAGTAATTGCATTAATAATCGGCTCTTCTAACTCCATAAAAGCTGTTATGCTTGATGACGGAGACTCGATCTCATTGGACAAGTTTGCAATTTCTTTCTTCCTGTTGGACAAGGAGTTTCAGAAATAATTATTATTTGACTAAAAATTTAGATAAATAATACGCCATTAAAATTTGAAAATAATAGGTAAATTACGCCAAGGAAAACTTGATATCGAAATTAATTGGTAAAATATCTTAGTAGATGAATGTGATATATAAATGTAATTAAATATATTATATAAGATAAGAATAAATATTAACAAATATAAATTAATCAATAATATTTTTGAAAAATATAATTCGGCATCTGCATTTTTTGGCTTTGGCCGTTACGTACGCGCCTGAGTAGAGTCTCTTATACGTTGCATTAATAAGTTTTATAATTTTATAAAAATAAGTTTTTTTAATAACTTTATTGCATATTTTCAACTGTTTGTAATGATGATAATATCATAGCTGCTATCAGGGCTTCTACCGCTAAGTATAGAGGTTTGGGACGTTTTAGTTTTTAGTTTAAAATTTTAAAAAGATTTTGTTCCATTTCTGTTTTTCTTGAAAAAATTTATATCGGTTCGGTTTAATTATTATGGTTCTTTTCGGTACATTCCGGTTTTTATAAATTTGATTTTTTTAAACAAAATTAATCATAAACCTTATATAGAGAAAAATATTTTTTATTTTTATAATTCCTTATTTAATTTAACCGTGAAGATTATTTCTTATCTAATTAACTAGTAATTTCCCTAACCTCTATTAAATTGAATATATAAAGAAACAATAAAATAGGTATTGATTGACATAAAGATAATGGTGATTTAATTGTAAAAATTTTATTTGTAAAGAAATCACTAATTTAAATTGCCCCAATGAAAATTATAATTTCAAATTTAGGTTAATAATTTAAAATTAATTATTTTAAAAAACCGTTATGAACCGGTTAAACCGGGTCAATATATTTATAACAGTTTGGTTCGCTCTCTTTATATTTTCTTTATAACGGTTACGGTTCAGAAAATTATAAAGGTTCGTTCCGGTTTCGCTGTTTGGTTCGAAGCCCCTAGCTGCTATTATCCATCCTACATTCAAATTGATAAGAAAACAAATTCCTAATAAAAAAACCTACAATTTTCTTTGTGATGATATATATTTTTTAATATATTAAAGAATTAATTTTGTCGCATATATTGAAAAAATAATTTTGTCGCATATATTGAAAAATTATTATATTTGTTAGTATGGTTAAATGGCTGGTCTTACACGACCACGACGCTGATTTTTGGTCGAAAAAATACCAGAACCAACCCAACCAAATGGATTGATTGGTTGACCAAATCCATAGTCTCGAGCACCAACCGACAGCTTATATAATATTTTATTGTGAATATTTTGCTCAATCATATTTTTATGCATAGAGGGACGAATATTTCAATATTAGCATAAATAATTATTTTTGAGATTATTTTTTTAAAAAATATTCCCTTCTTAAACAAAAAATTTTTGATAATTTTTACTTTACACTAGTAACTTGAGTCTCAAACTCGAGTTTTGATCTATAAACCAATTTAAAAACTAGAGGACGACTACTTCAATTCATAATTGATCAAATATTTAGCATAGAATTCGAAATAATTATCTTCTAAAACCAGGCTAACTTTATTATAGGAATTTTTCGGTTTTTAGATATTTATAATTCATATATCATCAAAAAAATGCGGGTAATATATGTTTATTTAATTAACAATTTTCGGGGTGACCTAAAGTCGTAAAAATTGCCTTAGGCTAAAGCCGAATGAATTGGCTTTGGCTTGAGTCAGCTCCGGATTTGTCCTAATATTTGAGTTTAGTTAGTTGGCCCAATAGTTGGCTCGAGTTTAATTTTGGGCCCAAATGTATTTATTTGTTATTTAACTCTAATTCGCTAATGGATATAACGACAAAATTATTTGCTTAATATATAGCCAAAAATTGCCTTCCCATCAAAATATATTGCAATATTGACCATCCATTTCAAGAACTTGTATTATATACTCCCTACCTGGTAGTTCTAGCTGATCCTTGCTCGCAAGTATTTGTGGAAAAATTCTTCAGTGCATACGATTAAGTAACCCCATTACGAACTAGATTTGACAAATATACTTTAGACGATATTTTAATCATCAAACCTAA